TCTCTCTGAAATCAATAAAGATATATTTTATATATATATATATATATATATATATATAAACAAAGAGAATGTGTTTTTGTCAGAACCTGATTATCAAAGGTGAAATATGGTGGCTTACTTTAAAATATTTTTTTAAAAATAAAATAACTATTTTCAGAAAATATAACAAATGTATCTGAGAGTCTTGAAGCAGTAGAAAGGCAAGGTCTGTGCTTAGGCAAGGAGGTGGAGCATAAGGGAAAGGGAAGGTTAGGTATAGAAAGAAAGGCTGTCATAGGCTTTAACAGAGCAGATTCCAATTCTAGAAGAAGCCAGTAGTAAAAAGACATAAATTCTAACTTCAAAAATACGCTTCTAACATTTTAAGTTAATCTATCTCTTCAAGTAAAGAGGTGAGCAGTGAAGGAATCATGGGAGAAACAACCTGTGCTCTACTTCTAAACTCTAACCCTACCCTACAAATCAGCCTAAGATTAAATCAGGTATAGCCTGGTAAGCCTAAATTATTTCAGGACCGCAATGACCAAAAATGGATTATCTTGATAGCTAATGATAAAAAGACAAATGCAGAATGAAGTAATACTTTAGTGGGAATAAGCTGTTTAAAGTATTATAATTAGCAATGGTGATCTAGTATTTTACTGTTTAGGGGCATGGAAAGCATAAAAGAATCAAAAGCAGAAGAGAGATGAAAAAGAGGTGGCCAATAAGAAAGCAATTTTTGCCAACTTCCTAAAGTTGCCCTAGAGTCTATCCTGTCTACCTTTAAGAAGCTGAGAAAACTAGAAGAGGTTCACGAAGATTTTGATTGTTGGCTCCAAATGCATTTGTGAACCTTAAATTAAATCAAGTTTTATGTGTACAAATAGCTGCTAGAAGTTAACATGGCCTATGACTTATTTTGGAGGGGTAGAATTTGTTACTCTACTTAATTCCAATCTTAAAATAATTTTTCAATACTCAGAGACTAATATTTTAATCTGTCCTTAATGCAGAAAAGGTCAAGTTGTCATCTTAACTAACTTGCAGATAAATTCATTTTCCTGATAAGCCCTAAATATATTGTATAAAAGTAGACAGTTTTATATCCATAAATGATCAAGCAACTAAATATATTGTATAAAAGTAGACAGTTTTATATCCATAAATGATCAAGCAAGGTCAACTGTAAAATGTTAGAAACTTGCAGCCTTTTTATTTAGTACCCAGAAAATGCCAGTAATTTAACATGATACTTTGATAAATGTTTCTCACAGAGTTTTAACAAAAACGAAATAAATATAATTTCTATGTCATCTTTGGCATGTAAATTCAAAATGATAGCCATTTCTTTAGCAGCACTGTGAGGGGAAAAAACACTATAAAATGCACTACTGGATTGGGTCTTACATGAAAAATGTTGTACAATGAAAACGTTCATGTCAAAAGGAGCAATGTTTCAAAAAACATTTATAAAATAAATGACGGTATAAAACCCATAATGTAGTCAGAAAAAGAAAATACAGTTGTCTGAACATTTGGGAGCTTTTCTTTAATAGCCGCTTTTAAATTTTTAAGTACATGTGAATCAAATTTATACATAACTTCTATTTAATGCCATTTCCATCTTAAGAAGTGCAATAAAATGCCAATGAATATCATATTTTCTATATCAGAAAATAAGTATAGGAATCACAAAATGCTTGGGAAGTGTTGGTAAGACAATGGACAATGTTGCTGGTTTTTGTTGTTTCTTTTAGTGAATATTCACTCTGCATAAACATGATGTTAACTAACACTACATACTGTTTTTAAAAAATTAAACACAGAAACATCACATTCTCCTTTTCTTGTACTGTGGAATTTAATGCAAGATAAATTCTCATTTCCAAACCATGCTGGCATTTGGATATTTCATTAGAATTTCTTTTATAACTTTTTAGATGGATATTTCTTGTTAGAATGCTTTGATGACATTAAATTTTTTTTATCATATTAAAAAACAAACTTTTTTTTTTTTTTTTTTTTCTACAAGTGGTCTCAATTTCAGAGAGAGTGAATTTGAAAAGAAAACTCAAATGTGACCTGGGCAATATTAGTTGATACAAAAGAAAAAGGCAAATAAATCTAATTGGTCACATTATGACAATTTATTAAGAAACTAAAGCACTTAGTACATTCTCTAGAACTGTCCCACATAAAATTAAATGCTTAATAAATACCTTTTGAAGAGTAGATTAATTTACATAATTAGACAAATGGAATGAAAGCAAAACAGACACTCTGTTTTCCAAGGTTTAGAAATGTGATATAAAGCAAATTCTAACTTGGCAATCACATATATAATTATTTCCAAACATTTAGCTGAGATTTCTTGCTGGTCAACAAACTTAAAGGTACATAATTTGTGCACTAGAATGTAAGTAAGCAAGCTTGAATTCCTGTATTCTAAAAATACTTTTACTTTCTCTTTCTCTTTATAGTTCAAAGAAACTAATGCTTATAATTTAGGAGTTACTATACCTTCAAGCATTGTCAACCAACTTGAATGTTAAGTGATCAAGCATTATCATTTTATTAAAATTATATGATGGACTTCACTATACTGTAGGACTAAAACCAGGAACAGTGCATCCATGAGTAAAATGTATTAGTGAATAATCACTATCAATGCCACTACAGTCTTGCATTGGAATGCAGAAAACGCATTACTGAATTGTTCTATTAATTCAGCAATCATTCATTTTGAGATACATGTCAAAATTACCTGAATAAGCTGTGAAATGTAAGAAATTGTTCTAAAAGTTTAATTGCAGTTGACCAATCTATACTTAATACAGCTTGTACTCTTGTTGAGAAATAACATTGTGTTAAATAGGATCTCTGTGTGCTGAAATCTAGGCAAAGGATCTGGAGACTTTCATCCCACTGACAGTTTGCATTCAACCTTTCTGTGGTCTCTTTTTCTCTATAAATACAGTATAATAGGAACTTGGGGAAAGGGAGAGACTCCTTATGTTACAGACCATATTCTATGAGAAACAAAACTACAGATAAAGATGTGTTTGACAAAAACTGCCTTCCTCCACATCATTCTGTCATAGAAGTTCATTGTAAATTTCACTGTGATTAAAAAGTGTGGAAGGTTTTAAGAGAAAATTTAAATTGAGAGGTAGAAAGGAAGGAGTTGTGCAATATATATGGTGTTGGATAATCTAGTCTTGGGGCATATGTGTAAATTCCTTGCCCAAAGATATCTTCCCTGATAGTAGCTGAATTTTAAATGATTCTCATCTGGTTAGACTACTTAAAAATCTAGCAAATAGAAACTCATTTGAATAATGGAAATCTTTCCTGAAAAATGCCAATTATCTACTAGCCACTGACAGAAAAAATGTGAATGAATTCAAAGAAATAGCTCTCCTTTCACCTTTTTAGCTGAAAATAATTGCTTTGTGAGAATGGAAGTTCTGATTTTAGGAAGGGGAAAGGTGTGAGGTCATTTTGGGATACAGAATCTTTCAGGAATAATTTAATCATGGAGCCCTCTGTCCGGTAATCCAATAGTATAGCACACAGGGGCTGGAGAGCCAGAGAAATAGAATGTAGAGAATGCCAAAAACACATTTTGCCTAGAATAAAGCCTGTTCTCTAGTTAACCTTAAGGCCAAGGTTCTTCTACTTCTTCAGATATGAAGGGTCTCTTGTCAGGAAAATACAATTCAATCATTATAAATAAGTTTATAAGTGGTCATTACTATTTCAGCATGATGTTTTAATAAACACCAAGCACCTGTTCTTAAGTTTGCGGGGTGCTTACACATATGAAATCCCTTTGGGCTAACCAAAGGTGCTATCAAAATGTTTTACTATGTTTAATTACCAAAGGCAATAAATTATAAAAATCAATGTTTAGGTGTTGCTGGGTCTAACAAAACAGGCTAAAGTTCAATTTTCATGAAATAACTGAAACCTTTACTTCCCCACAAAATCACCATCTCTGGCACTACATTTTAATTTTCTTGCAATTGGTTTCCTGAGTTTATTCATGATACTATGTGCTTTAGGACATTAAATATTTAGTCCATCTGGGTAAAATTGATGTTTTCCCTTTGAGGGGAAAAATGTACATTATCCTCTCCCTTCCATACAACAATAAAAACCCCAAACTGTGCTATCATTAAATACTACCAAGAAACATCAACTAGAAAGAAAAGTAATGCAAAATCATTGTTCATGAATCCATTAGAAACCACAGTATTCTAAAGTTTTATAAAAAAGATTTTTTACTGCTTAAGCATTTATAGAAGTCCCATGAAAAAATGCCCCATTCCCATCTGCATTTGTTGCTCTAGAGTTCTAGCCAAAATGGACATGATTAGGCACCCCTAACTAAGTTCCTTCTACAAAATGAGGGTATAGTTTGAAGCTTTCCCTTATAATAAGGTTGCTCCCTACTACTGTTAAGCTACCATGTTTGAGTTTTCCAGCAGAAAACTCTTGTACAATTATAGGGAAAATCCATTAGCATATACACTGTCAATCCTCACTGAGTGATGAAGAATCATGCTGCTCACTGCTTAATTCTGATTGAGTTATTTTCATAAAAAGACTGTATGCCATGTCCCTTCTTTGCAAATATATTGACAAATTAATTAAGATCATCTGCTTTTTAAAAACTATTAAAGGAAGACTGAAAGTTATTTTTTGATTATTTTTCATTTTCCAATTTCATTTACCCTAATTCTATACTAGAAAAGTACACATGAAATAGTATCTCTGTTCTGAAAAGTTCAACACCAAAATCATACCTCTGAGTTTGTCATATCAATTTTGATAGAAAGGCATAATAGCACAAAGAAGATAATGGCGAGAGGAAAATAAGTCAGAAAATATGGACTCAAACAGTTAAGTCCAATTACTTCTAGTAATAAAGCAAAACAAGGAAATAAAAAGCCAAACTGGAGCATAAAAATCTACAAAATGTGATATCAGTCTATTTCTAAGTACTATCTTCCATGTGACATTAGATGTTCTTTAATGTCTTTAAATTACTGGAAAAAGACATTTCAAAATAAAGATACAGAATTTTATACGTCACATCCAAAAAACAGATCTTTGTGCATGTAATATATACCACTTACATTATAAAGAGAATATGTATAGTTTCTTTTATTAAATACCAAAGTTATGTCTCCTAGACTAAGTTGTATACTTCAGCAATTAGAGATCTACTCTATCTGAACTAAGCAAAATAAAATACACAGCAAAAAGTACACCTAACACACACAAGTAGTTCACTTATATTCACTAAACAAAACTGTAATATCCTCCAGTTTACATTCATGTGTTCTTTCTGTCAGTAGTAGTAGTAGTAGTAGTAGTAGTAGCAATAGTATTTTATTCAACAATGCAAAAAAGATTCTTTAAAATTGTATCATTTAGAGAAAACAATACATACTACATAGTGTTTCTGAATCATAAATTTAATAAGACCAGAACAAATTGGCCAGATTTCTTTTCTAATAAAATTTTTAAATGTGTTCAAATTTTATGTAGGTCATCAATATTACTTTCTATTTAAAATACCAGTTTATCTTCTTGAAGAATAACTATTATGTAGCATTGTCTAAAGTTTGCTGATAGGCATTATACTATATCATGTGTGCTAAGCTCACAAGCTCACTACAGTAAAATTTCAACTATACTGCCATACAATTCAAGGTAGACTAATACGTTACACTGTAATTCAACGCACATGGAAGTCCAAAAAACAACAGTACAATTCATTAAAAGGGGGGACTGATGATGACTAAATCCAATTGGATCACTTGAAAGTCAGCTTACATAACATCAAGGTAGTGTGAACACCATGTATTTTATTTTCAAAGGCTTACTTATGACCTATTTAGTAGGTCACAATACCAATATAAAGCCTTTGGCCAAAAAGATTTTTCTCTTGTAGTACAATTCCAATAGAAGTGAACTTTAAAGAAACCTTGTGAAAACCTTTATTTCTAGATGAGGACACTTATGCACAATATACAGGTCTGACTGCACACATTATCTGTAATTTAATTCTGTAAAAACTTTGGCACCAACCATATCAGTAGTTCACATAATTAGCACAAACAAATTTTACTCTGGCACTAAACTACCATGTCTACATTTTAGTAATTACAGAGTGGAGTTACTATCAAATGAATGGAATCCTTTGGTTGTACATAATAATGGGCTTCTACAAATCACTTTCAATTTGTTTTTCTTTTTTTTAAAAAAAGCTTATCCTTCAGGATCTTATGTTTAAAAATCCTGAAATTGATTGGCATTATACTATTATATTTGCAACTTGATTATTGGTAATGATGCCCCAAATCATTATTGTATGAAACCAGAAAAACTACTAAAGTAGCTTTATTTAAAAGGAACTTTAGAAGTTAGTGTGCAGAGAAACTGTTAGGACCTTGTGGACACCATTTATACACTACAGCAAAACAACATACTATGAATATTGTGGACCTATGTATGTTTATTTTTTAATTTCACTCCCTTTAAATAAGAAGACTTAAACAGAATATTCAAGTAATGGAGCAGAAAACAATGCCTTTGATATGAGATTAGGCAAAGGCCACACATTTAATTATCTCTTCATCCAGTTTGGCAGAGGAACACTGGAAATCTTACAAGCCAGTTGATGTCCGCTTTTTCATGCTCCGTCGCTGAGCTAAACTTGAGGCAGCAACAGGCTCTAGGACTGGTTGGAAGGTCTTGTGAGTGAGGGCTGAATATGTGGCAACCACTGCTCCCTAAAATAATGAGAAATATCACAAACTGAATAACAGTTTCTGGAGGTGAAATAAAACTTCCAAGTATATCGTAAGAGATTTAAATACAATACAACTTTTTGCCCAGGAAAATAATTGAAAATACTTGATCTGTACATTGATCCTCTTTTAATTAATACCTGATTATTGTATATTTCTTATTTCAATAACTATGTGTATTACAATATATAATTTTATCAGTCTTTCATCATTAATTGAGTTTGCTTTTAAACTTTTAAAATTTGTTTAACCTCAGAGGGAAAGATGGGGCAGGAAGAGATTAACCAGAGAACTTATATGCACATAGGCATAGCCCATGGATACAGACAATAGTGCAGTGAAGGCTTGGGGAGGGGACAGAAGAAAGGACAAGGGGGTCAAAAGTGGGGAGGGGAAGAGGCATCTTTAATACTTTCAACAACAAAGATAAATATAAAAAACAAATTTCATTTTTAATAGGAATTGTACATATTATGATATATAAACATAATATTATTATATACATATACATAGGAAATGATTACTACAGTCGGGCTAATCAGTATATCCTCATAAAGTTATCATTTTTTGTGTGGGATGAGAGTACCTGAAGTCTACTCTTAGAAAATTCCAGTATTCAATATGGTATTATTAAATACAGTCACTATGCTGCACATTAGATCTTTAGACTTATTTATTCTGCATAACTTCAATGTTATATACTTTGACCAACATCTCCCTGTTTGCCTCTCCACCCTGGAAACCACCATGCTGCTTTATGCTTTTACATATTTGACTTTTTTTATTCCACATATAAGAGAGATCATATAGTTTTTGTATTTCTATGTCAGGCTTATTTCACTAAATATAATGTCTTCCAGGTACATCATCCACACTGTAGCGAATGGAAGGATCTTCTTCTTTTTTAAAGCTTAATAATGTTCCATTGTGTTTGTGTGTGAGTGTGTGTGAGTGTATCTCACAATATCTTTATCCTCAAAGAGAAATCTGTGCTCCCATGTTCACTGCAGCATTATTCACAATAGTCAAGATATGGAAACAACCTAGGTGTCCAAAAAGAGATAAATGCATAAATCACTAAAATTTAAAATCTAGGTTCAATGTCTATAAATATAGGAATATGCACCAATGGTTATTAATTTAAGAACCAATAGTAATCTTTTGTTTCCATATGAAACTTGCCTTACTCCTAGTCTTAGTGTTTTCTAAGAGCTAATCAAATACAATCAAGAAATTTGTATTTATCATCAGAAAGGCTATAGGTAAAGAAGAGAAGAGTCTATGACTGTTATTTAAAAAAAAAACAACAGAATAAAACATCTATAAATAATCTTTAAAAAATAAAAATAATTTAAGGTAATTACATAAGTGTCATCAGTGAATGGCATGCAATGACATTGTAAAGTATCAAGCATTTAGAAGGTACATAAAAGTATGTTTTACCTTAACAACATATGATGTATCATTACTATTTGGCTGATCATTTGGTAACTGGTCTCTGTGGATTATCCATGAGTGTTTTAATACTTGTTCTGTAGTGTATCGCTGATGTGGGTCCATATGTAGCATATGGGATAGCAAATCCTAAATCAAATTTAAAAAAATATATATAAAATTATATATCAATTTTTTTTAGTAAATATATACAATTTTATATTTTCTCAAAATATGAGAGCATCAGTATATTTTCAATTTGTTTGATTTAACCTACCCCTAAGGAAAACAAACCTGTACTCTGAACAGTTAACTGTCAAAGAGAATTTTGAGATAGATTTTTCAACATACAGTAAATCTTTATTTAATTTATTTTTAATTCAGAGAACATCAAATCTGTAGAACTGGGATATGGTTACTGAGGGAGAAAGAAAATGTAAAGTAGCAGGAGTTATCCTGGAATGTGCTAAATGGTTAAGAGGACAGAGGAACTATTGATCTTAGCTGATAAGCTGGGTCCCAAAATATAAGGGTATGTGTATATGAATACAACATAGAAAGGAGGATTCCATGTTGTTAATACACCCTAAACTAATGGTTTACTGAATAAAATACTAAATAAAGCAAAACAAATCAAAGTTTAGAAACTGGCTGCTAGCATAGTAGTGGTCAGAATATCATAAGGTTTTCATCAGAGTAACTGTGAATATGCTTATTTTATCTTTGATAATAAAAGTAATATAACTTTATAATGGAACACAATTTAAATATATGAAATTATGTGATAATTTTAAATAAACTCTCTGTCAAGCATATTTTAGAGAAAGGAGAAGTAAGCTCTCCTTAACAAGCACCTTCTAAAATCTAAACAAAATCATCATTTTGTAAACTTTTCATCAATAGCAGAAGCAGTGAAACTAAAAACTCTAAGAGGTAACATCAGAATTTGAAGAATAATGTAATTGGTTGAAACTATGTAAGGGAGTAGAACAACCAATAAGAAAATCTATTGGAAAAAGGACAGATGTGAAGAAATAAATGAAAAATAATATAGAAAACATAACTGATTACTTAAATAAAACAGACCTAAATGATAATAATAAAAATGACAAATGTTCAACAGTACAAGGACTTTTTCCTCTGGTCAAGATGGAATACCAAAGGCTGGATTCATCAACCTGCTTGAAACAACTCTCCCCCACACCACTATACCCCCCAAAAAACACCCCTAAATATAGGACATAATAGCTTTCAAGAAATCAGAGGTTAGGCAATGAAGAAGAGTGATCCCTAAAAGATGAAAAACATATCAAGTAAGTCCTATGATTGCCACAGCTTACCACCTTGGAGAGATTTTTCAAGCTGCTGTGCAGCTAAGAGAAACCCAGGCAGAGCCTGGCAGTTTCTCTGAGTTGAGGAGATAGAACTGAGAGTTAGGAGAGACCAAGGAAGCAAGAGAGTTAGCAGAACAGAATATCAGAGAGGTGAGAGGATCAGAGAGAACTACAGAAATCCATAGGGGTCCCCCCTCAAGTATTCAGCAGGTTACTGATAAACCCATATGTGGTTGGGGGAGAGAAACAAAAAACTACCAAAGGCAATGGGAAGACTTAACTGAAAGGATTATAGAGAAATCAGAGCTCATGTAAGTTAGAGAATATTGCCTGTTCCCACCAGCCAGACTGGAAAATCTCATAATTCATGGAGTATTTGTTATAATACATAGAAGCAACCTCCCTGAGTAGTGAGCAGCCCTAGACAAAAAATATATATATGTGTTAGAAGGAAGACATAAAAGCATCAAATTGTTTCCCCTAACTTAACTGGGGCCCAGAATAAATCTCAAGAATATTTATAAAAATAAAATCACATCTAGCACCTTCTGGGGTAAAATTCACTATGGCAGGCATCTTATAAAAAATCACCATTTAGCCTGGCCAGTGTGGCCTATTGACCTATGATCCAGGATATCACAATTCAATTCTTAGTCAGAAAACATGTTCAAGTTGTGGGCTAAAACCCTAGCAAGAGGCATGCAAAAGGCAGCCGATCAATGACTCTTTCTCATCAATGTTTCTCTCTCTCTCTTTCTCTCTCTCTCTCTCTTCCCCTTTCCCTTCCTCTCTCTGAAATCAATAAAATATATATTTTAAAAATCACCATTCATAGAAAAGAGAAGGAAAATAAAATTCATAATGAGAAGAAAAAAGTCAACCAAAATTGACCCACAAGACCCAGCCGGTGAGGCTAAGTTAGTTGGAGCATTGTCTCATACACTGAAAGTTTGCAGGTTTGCTTTCCAGTCAGGGCACATACCTGAGTTGCGGGTTACATCCCCGGTCAGTACATGTGTGGGGGACAACAGATCAATGTTTCTCTCTCACACTGATGTTTCTCTCTCTCTCCTCCCCCCCCCCC